CCCACCTGACACCCTGTACCTGTCTGTCTGTGTCTCAGGTTCCATGAGGACGACCACAACTGCTTCAGCTTCTGTCTCCAGTTTGTCAACAGTGTCCTGACAGCGGAGGGTCGCAGCCCTCTGAGCAGAGACGAGTTCACTCACAGCTTCATCCTGCCGAGGATGAGGAGGGTGTCCAAGTACACCACGCTGTACCAGCACATCCAGAGACACCAGTACTACATGGTGGACCGACAGCAGGACGGACAGCAGGACGCAGCGGTCAGCAGTTAAATCAGATCCAAAACCACCAGATCCTGCTTCCTGAAGGAGTTTAGACCAGATTCAGCTCCGTTACCACTGAAACAGAACCCCGTCTCCACGGTAACACCGACTCTGTCTGTTCGGGGTCTCCACAGTAACAGTCTTTGAGGAGTCTGAAAATACCGTGTGGTGGTCTGGTGGTTCTGGTCTGAGGGGTGACTGGATGTTGGTCCCAGCCGGTTCCCATCAGTCACCACACGGAGCCCCACAGAGTCCAACTGTATGCATGAAGTTTATTTCTGTGTTGAGACTTCAGTGAAACACATCAGTGACCTGTGACAGCACTCAGCTGGTTGTGTTACGTTGTTGTTGCGCTATCTGTGTTCTAACACGTGTGTTCGTGTGTTTCTCGCTTGTTGATGATGAACGTGCTGAGAACGAGGAATAAAGTTCAACTATGGATAAAGACAAAAACCGTATTCTGGCAGATGACACTGATGAAAACACATTTAATCAACATGTTTGTCATTAAACCAGATCTCTCATTTAACAAACAAATCTGCGTAAAATTATTGGATCAAAACTTCTTTTTCTGTTGCCACGGATTGAATCTATCTTTAGAAATAACTCGCAGCATAAAACAGGAATTTAACAGGTTCATCTATTAAAGAAAAATACGTTTTTAAAATACAACAAATCTGTTAAAAAAAAAAAGTTAAAAAAGTTTACTGAGGTGATGCAAATCTGACCTTCTGAACTGAAGTCTGTACATATTCTGAGAAGTGAGTCAGACGATGAGCAGCTGGGATGTTCGCTCATGAAACAGCGTTTTCACAGAACCCAGAGTCCGGTCGCACAGATGACCAGAACCATCCACAGCCTCCAGAAACAATCTGTGGACTCTGATTCAAAGCAAAGAACAAATGAAATATCTCTAAAGATGTTTTCATTCCCAGAGACGTTTAAATCACCACAAACTGACAAACTGCAGCATCCAGCAGCTGCGCTGTTCACCGACACTCCGCCTGTCAGCGCCAGTCTGTGTTAAACACGTTTTACACCGGAGGTACCGACAGCACCGACAGCAGCGGCGTCACGTCGGGTCACTTCACATGTCACACACTTTCCGAGGCTGTCTCCACAGCGCATGCTCAGGAGCGTCAGCAGACAGGAGGAACGGAGAGAGCGGGCCGACGGTTCCAGCCGGACTCACATTCTGTGACACCGGAGCGTCCGCAGCAAAACAAACCGGTAAAGTCAGAAGCGAAGCGGCTAAAAGTTAGCATCGTCTCGCTGGTTCTGAAGCTCCGAGCCGATCTGAGCCGGTCCGGTCCGGTCCCGTCGGTCCCGGCAACATGCAGGCGGAGCTTCGGGCTCCTCGGCGGCGGACCCGGGTCCTGGAGGAGTACGAGGCCCCGCTGCCGGTGGGCCGGAGCCCGGAGGAGGAGAGCCACTTCAGGGCGGAGCTCCTTAACCAGCACGTGCTGCTCCGTGACCCGGNACAGACAGGTACGAGCAGATGTAGATATTTCTGCTGCCCTTCGTGCTTTCAGCAGTGACCTGGTTAGAGTCTGGCTGCAGAGGAAACATGAGCTCAGGGGCAAACTGACACCGGGAGGCCGGGGGTCCTCTGTAGGAGAAGGCAGGGTCTTCTACATGTCAGGTCACAGGTGATCCAAACCTGCAGCTTACACCTGTGAGTTACCTGTGTGTGTCTGTGTGCAGGAGTTGTGTACAACTACACCCGGGGAGGAGTCCGCAGAGATCAGAGCGGATGGGAGCGCTGCATCAGTGTCCCTCTGGTCCGACCCGACATGTTCCACCTGCTAGCTCAGTGGGACCAGTACCTGGACCGCTTTTCTGACGGACCCATGTGGGACCCCGCCTGGCACAGGTAACTCACACCTGAGACAGGTACAGAGGTTCACTTGTAAAGGCCATGTATATCATGACAGTGCTACATATATACAAACAGCAACTTGGACAATGAGTTTTGGTGATGTAGAAAGCTGTTAATCTCTTTTTCTTAGTTTCATGAACTCCTAACGTCTCCTGAGTGGTTCTGGTTGACTCCAGCTTCTGACTCCTCTGATCCAGTTTAGACAGAACCATCTAATCCACTCATTAGACTCAGACACTGCAGTGGGAAAGTCTGAGGAGCTCAGCAAAGATCTGGAGAAGAACATCAGTGACTGGAACCAGTCAGAAAGTCACTTGGA